TGATATTAGAGTTATCTAGCAGTCAGAAATTAGCTGGTTGCTAGGTTGGTGTTATAAAAATAAGCTGAAAATAAATACTAAGAAAACAGAAGAGATGGTGTTTGACCCAAAGTGTATAAGTGACAATTGTCTAGTGGTTGTACACAACCATCGTATTACTCAGTCAGAAACATGTAAGTACTTGGGCATTTACATTGACAGTTCTTTTACATGGAATACACACATAGAGTGGATTTGTTCTCGTTTACACCAGAGATTGTATTTTTTTACAAGGTTACGTCTTTTTGGAGTTAACAAGAAGCTCATGATCTAGTTTTATAAAGCTGTTCTTGAAAGCATTGTTAGATATGGTATCACAGTGTGGTTTGGCAACCCATCTGTACCGTGTAAATCTAAGTTGATGCATCTCTTAAAGACAGGATGAAAAATTGCTGGGCATGATGAATATTTTAATCCTCAAGTTTTATATGAGAATTGTGTCCTCATTCATGTGGAAAGGATTCTGAACGATCCAACTCATTGTTTGATTGCACATTATGAACTGCTTCCCTCTGGTAGGAGAGAGGGAAGAGTCCCAAAGAGTCGGTTGTACCTTAGTACCTGTTTCAGTGGGTTCATTTAACAAGAGTCTATCTTAATTAGCATTATAAATTTTGCAACTACTGTATTTTGTATTATTTTTATTGCTTTTTTAAGGAATGTCTGCAGCAATATGGTGATGCCCATAACACATTTTGTGGCAAAAACAATAAAGATTACTACTACTACTACTACTACTACTTCATGCCTGCACTGTAAAAAAAAAATTATGATAATAGTAATAAAAATCTAGAATCGGTTTGTTTTGACAGCATATGTTTTTATGTCATTGTAACTTACTTAACTTATCATGTTCTAACTCAATTTTGGACATTACGCATGATGTTTCAAGTCAGTTTAACCTAACATAAGTCCAATGAACTCATAAGGTTAATTTGATTTCGCTTAAAAGTTTAAGGCGACCACGGATTTTTTTACAGTGTACCTTTGTGATGTCTGTTCTGTTCTGAATTTCTGTGTCCTTTGTAACTTGCAGAAAAAGAGTGAAGCGGAGAAAGTTAAAGGAAGAAAGCAACAGGAAAATAGAATGCAGGAAACATAAGAGACAAAAGAAACAGGAGAATATGAGTAATCATGGTCTATAGTTGGACCAAGTGGAGTTAATTAGAAAGCAGAGAAAGGATTATGTGTGAAAGCCAAGACTGTTTATTTTAGAGATAGACACCAATCACTTGAGGTGACCTCTGACCCATGACAAACTCATGCACACCAGCTCTCAAAAGTGGAAATACTCCCTAGTGCCCAATCCGTGAGCATCAAATCACACATAAATACACACTCCACGCTTTTGTCCTACTCTTTGCCTTTGAATGAGCGTCCAGTAACACTAGTTGACTATCATGTCCCCATCTCTCTGTTATCATGCCGCTCTGTGTTATCACTCTGGGAAAAGCTTTTATTGGCTGAGAGGTAATGGGATAGTTTATGTTAGCAGACCCCCATGTAGAGGGGAAGTGGGGTCTGCACTTTTCCTCTTTTGCCATCCTCTTTTTATTGGCCTCAAGCCTTCAATAATACATATTATTCTCATGCTTGTACAAGCAAAACCCTTTTGAACAGATCGAAATAATACACTGTAAAAAAACATGATCAATTAGTCTTGACAGTTAATCACATTCTAATTTAATTTTATGATATTTTATAATATTTTATAAAATTTTATAATATAATTTAATAATAAGTTACACAAGTTGTTTTAAGTCAGTTTAACATAATATAAGTTTAGTGGACTCATACGGTTTATCTGATTCAGCTTAAAAATTTATAGCAACCAGGATTTTTTACAGTGTACATTTATATGTAAAGAATAACCCATTTCAGTTCTTTGATATTACTTACACAACTAACACTGAACAATTTTTTTTTTTTTTACATTTATTAATCTAGATTGATGCTTATTTTGAATATACTAATCTTGGTTGTTAATACATGTTGGTTAATATTCCTTTAATGCTAACATTTATAGTTTCAAATAGTAAAAACGTACAGTTGAAGACAAAATAATTAGCCCTCTTGTGAAATTTGTGTTCTCTTTCAAATATTTCCCAAGATATGTTTAAAAGATCATGGAAATTTCCAGTTATGTTTTTCTTCAGAATAAAGTTTTATTACTTTAGTTTGGCTGCAATCTAAAATATATTGTTAGGAAATACTTTAGAAATAGGAAATTATTTAAGAAACTAGTTATAGTTTCTTATAGTATTCTAACTATTGTAGAAACATAAGCGATGTCGACTAATATGGCATCAAACAATGTCTAATGTAAAACATCAACATGGATGATGGCATCGTCATTGTAGGTGGCGGTGAATTAATTATTATGATTAATTCATTCATTCATAACAAATTAATTATTTGTATCCTACCGTTTTACCTACCTGACCCGCATGGTCTTCATTTTACCCATAACCAAATCATAAATAAATAAATAAAGACAAGTTACACACAAATTACCACCTGTCAATCACTTTTTCCACGGGACTCTGGCATGAATAGGCAGAGTGATCTGTGTCGTTATATTGACGTAGACAAACTTGGTTGGTAAAAAAGATGAACAACCAACAGGAACCAACCAACATTATCTGTGGTTTTTGCTAAAATTACTAAGTACAAGCGCAAAAGACTGAAGTGGTGTACTGACGCTGTGACACATTACCTGATAGATTTAAAAGACTGAAGAGTCGTTAGATAGGGAAAAGTTTAACTAAATATCACATTTAACAACTGTAGTGGGACATGATCCAGCGGTACATCCTTGATAGGCTGTCCCACATGCACTCTTTTTTTTTTTTTTTTTGAGCACTGCTCTCTGGGGTTTTGTGCTCAAAGCACCTGCTGACTGCTGGCACTTTCAGCTCTATAGTGTGGAAGGAGGGCTTTTCAGAAATGCTAGGTAAAATGCCAGTGTGGATGTGGAATGTTTTTGTTCTAAAATGCCATTTTAAAAATGCCATTTCAAAATCCTCAGACATATTAGTAAAAATGGAGCCTAAGTGTGTATTTTTCTATCAGCCATCGGCGATGGACTATGGCAACTTCTATCGACCCAACTATAGCACATATTTTCAATTCACATAATTATTGTTTCAGAACACAATAAGATCAACACAGTAAGATCTTGTTTCAACTCAGTACTTTTTTAACAGTTCATTTAGTAGTAAACAATACAAGATACAGATTTCAAATTACTATTTGTGCTCAATTAGTGTTACTGGGCTGTAAAACTGTACACCGCCATTACAGCAAATGTTACACATGTGTAGACATTCATTCATTCATTTTCTTTTCGGCTTAGTCTCTTTATTAATCTGGGGTCGCCACAGCGGAATGAACCACCAACTTATCCAACAGATGTTTTACGCAGTGGATGCCCTTCCATACAATGACATACAATACACTTTCATATTTTCCATATATTTTATTTGGATTATGTTATATGCAACATATATATATAAAAAATGTTTAAAAAAAAGTGTAAAAAAGTGTTTGCCCCTTTACTAATTTCTTAGTTTTTTGCATGTTTGTTACACTTTACAGTAATGTGTGTGTACATGCCTATTTGTAATTCTAAAATGTGTAATTCCAGTGTATACAAATATCAAGTTTTGCTATAATTTGAAATAGGTTGTGTGTATGACATATTTTGTTTATGTGAAATCCAACTATGAACTTGTATATCATATATATAATTTGCATGCATCATATTTTTTACATCGGCTCCAGTTTCCCCCACAGTCCAAAGACATGCAGTATAAGTAAATTGGGTAAGCTAAATTGGCCGTAATATATGTATGTGAATGAGTGTGTATAAAGCCTTGTACTGTTATTTTAATTTAACTTTGCAGGTTCTACCTACTGTATATGATTGTAATATTGGTAATTGGTATTTCTCAACTGAAAGTTCTTGCATCAATTTGTAACTTAAAAATGATCAGACAACAATCAGACAATTTGAAAATCTATGGACATAATAAATTATTAATTGATTAAACATTAAGATCAGATGAATTAAATGACAGACAAATGTATAATAGTGAATGATAAAAGATGCAAATCAAAAGTTTGATTGTGATAGCTTTATGAAAGGCAGTTACTGTGAATGAAATATTTATTTAGATGAAACACTTATTTTGTGTAGTGAAAAGGATATTTTGTGATTATATAGTATATAGTGATTATATAGTACTAACACAATTGAAAATATGCCGAAGTGTTTGAAAAAAGTGCACTGTTGATGATCTGTTGTGATATAAGAACTAAGAGTTTTGAAAAAGTAGCGATTACTTCTGAAAGATCCCCAAACTAATTAAAAACCCTAACCTAGTTAAACCTTTCAAGTAGTATCTTGCAAAATAACTAGTAAAATGTTATTCATAACATCAAAGATAAAAGAAATTCAATAGTTAAACAGTTTATTGACTAAATTATGAGAAATTTCAATTGCTTTTTGACTGCTTACAGACATTTCAGAAAAACATACTTCAAAAAATAAAAAAACACTGATGAAAAGTCCTGGAGATTGCCGGAGTGTGTCACTGGGTGATTATCTGGGCTTGTGATAACAGAAATAGGTTCTGGACTTTACATCAGCACTCTCTAAGTTCAGATCGAGGCCTTGTTTTTGTTATCAGAGCCCCTAAGGGTCTCAACTTAGATTTGCTTCAACACTGATGACGGATGCCAAAGACCACGACTCTTACTGTGTTTATTTAGACGGTTTGGAAAAGAGTCTGTGAAAAGCTAGAGGCAGTGAATGAAAGAAGTGGGATCATGTTTCGTTAAAAAGCAGACCGTCTGATTTCTTCAGAAATGCAGGACAAGGGTGGAGTTAAGCAGTTCTACACTCCTCCCTCAATATCTGTGATTGGCTTGCAGGTCATTCTCTGCTGAATGTGCCATCCCAGCCCACTATGTTTCACAGTTTTTTAGTTTATGCTGACTGGAGTGCCGGACCGAGAAGCAGCAGCTGTGTGTGAGTGAGTAATGCTGTGGAATAACATTGATTTGGCTGTAGAGAATGCTGGATGGCTCAAATTATAAATCTGTAGGAACTGGAATTAGAATATATTTATAAAACTATAAAAGACATATATTATTTAGTTTGATCATAGTTTGTTTGTTTAGTGAGTTATATTGTAGAACATCTGTTGATATCAGCAATAAGCAGCTTTATTGAAGAGTCATGCTACTGTCAATTTATTTCTTGAAAACTTCACAGTGATGTTTTTAATTGTTGTGACTTTTATATTTACTGTAAATGGTAATTAATAAAGCATATGGATGTGGTAGTACTGTTCTCGTAATTCATTTTCGAGCATTTTTTTATATTTGCTGTTTTAGCCATAGAGCAGGTAGTGGTGAATAGGTTTTGAGTATCTTCTGTAAACTGCAGATGTCATGCATTAGAATGTCTATCTAGGTGCTTTAGCACATCTGACTCTGCGTAAAAATAAACAGGAAACCTCACACACAGTCATGCTCCAGGTTTTGCTCCTTCTGGCAGCTCTTTTTGAGTGTCAAGTTTGTCTTGCCAACAATATGGGCTCTGCTCACCTCACTATTCAATATCGTGTCTGGGAAGAACAGCCACCTGGGACAAGGGTGGGCCGCCTCCTGGATGATCTACGTGAGCGTGGGGAAACAGGGTCACTAGAAAACTTCCAGGTCGTCCAGCATGGGCATGCCCTTCCGGTGACAGTTGCTTCAAGAGATGGTACAGTGTCCACGTTTGGCCGGCTGGACAGAGAGGAGCTATGCTGGGGAACAGAACTTTGTGAACTGGCCTTCAATGTTCTCTACAGAAAAGGTGGTGCTATGCATTTACTCTCAGTTCGTGTGGAGGTGATGGACCTAAATGACCACAACCCAGTTTTTCCTAGTCTACTGCAGGAGGTGGAGATCTCTGAGACTGCTTCACTGAGAATGCGAATTCCTCTTGATCGGGCTGCAGATCCAGATGCAGGGCCAAATGGCCTCCAGACCTACACCCTGTCTTCTAACCAGCACTTTGCTTTGGACGTCCGTTCTTTTGGGGGGGCTAAGCAGGCTGAATTAGTGGTCACCAAAGAACTGGACAGGGAGTTGCAGGCCTCTTTAGAACTGGAGTTAATAGCCTGGGACAAAGGAAACCCACCAAAATCAGGCAGCACAAAAATTATTGTCACAATTCTTGACTCAAATGACAACAGCCCAATATTTGAGGAAGCCCCTTCAGTTATTGAGCTAGCAGAGAACACAATTCGTGGGACAATTGTCTTAAATCTTCGTGCTACAGACCCCGATCAAGGTGCTAATGGGGAAGTTGAGTACTCCCTTAGTAAGCATTCCCCACTGGAAGTACAAAGACTATTTAGCATTCATCCCAAAACAGGTGCTTTGACTTTACAAGGCCCTTTAGATTTTGAAGAGAAGAATGTATATGAGGTAGACATCCAAGCTCGAGATCTAGGGCCCAATGGTATCCCATCTCACCACAAGTTGCAAATTAAATTGCAAGATATAAATGATAATGCTCCCCGCATACACATTACATGGACTCCCCCAGACTCCCCTGTTGCGACAGTCACAGAGGGAGCACCAAATGAAACTTTCCTTGCTCTTGTGATGGTATCTGATGCAGATTATGGGGCAAACGGGCAGGTACAAGTGCACATTTTGACTGGTTCTGGCCCTTTCAGACTCAAACAAATCCATGGAGACAACTACATGATTGTTACCAATGGCACTCTGGATCGTGAGAAACAAATGGAATATAACCTTACTCTTCTCGCTCAAGACAGTGGTGATCCATCTCTGTCCTGCATTAAGCACTTGACTGTCCATGTTTTGGATGAAAATGATAACCCACCAATTTTTACCAAGAGCCACTACCGGAGTATCCTGAAAGAGAATAACACACCTGGCTTCCATTTCTTGACTGTGGAGGCACATGATGTTGACCTGGGTCTCAGTGGACAGGTATCTTTCTCCATTAGAGAGTCAAATGAACTGGGGACACCAACAGCATTTTTCTCTGTTCACCCCAGCAGTGGGGAAGTGACTGTCCAGCAATCATTAGACTATGAGGAATCCCGCGTCTACTCATTTATTGTGGAGGCTGTGGATCAAGGGTACCCACCAATGACCAGCATTGCAGCAGTGCTGGTTGAAATACAGGATGTTAATGACAATTACCCCATAATTTATGAGCCTCTACCCAAGAAGGGGATTGCATTGCTAAATGTCCCAGTGAATGTGGACAAAGGGGAGATTGTGACTGAACTTGGAGATAAAGCAATGGAGGATAATTTCCACAAACATAGAAATTACTCTTCCCTCAACAAACCTGAAGGATTTCTGGCCACCACAATTAGGGCTAGTGATCCAGATTCTGGTCTCAATGGAAGACTCAATTTTGGAATAACAGGCGGCAACCCTTCTAATATATTTTTTCTGGACAAAACATCTGGGGAGTTCTATGTTAACACAACTAATGCCACAGAACTTATTGGGAGAACATTTAAACTGGGAATTGAAGTATCTGATATGGGAACTCCAATACTAAGCACAAGAACCACTTTGGAAGTGACTTTCATTAATTTTCGTGACCATCTGAAGAACTTGTCTCATGATAACCAGGCCCAGTATAGCTTTACAATGCTTTTGGCCATCTGCCTTGGATCTACCTGTCTGGTATTATTTTTAATCATTGCTTTAGCCAAGACATTCTGTCACCCTAACAAACGGGACAACCGTGCTTACAACTGTAGACAAGCTGAGTCCACGTACACTCGCCACCCACGACGGCCTCAGAAGCACATTCAAAAGACTGACATCCAGCTGGTGCCAGTGCTTCGGGGTCGTAGAGAAACGTCTCAAGAAGATGAAGCTGAGGCATTATCATCTACATCACCCTTAGTGGAAAAAGCACATTCACAGAGCCAGTTTACCTTTACACCAACACTTGCTCGCATGACTCAAAATCAAGCTCATACAGAAATGGATGGGAACCTGCCACTCACTCAAAGCAAGATACTCAAAAAGCCTGGGAGCATAGAGTGGAATGGAACACTTCCATATACCTCAGGAACCCCATGCCGGACCCTGCAAAAGACAAGAAATTCTTCCTCATCATCATTTGCAAACTCACAGGCTAGTACGCTCAGACGAAATAAAATTGAAGAATCCAAGCCCACTAGCATGGACACCTCACAAACTGTGACTTCAGTTTCTAGTAATCAGGCAACATTGCGGAGACCAAAGACCACAGAAAAAAGAGGAAGGATGGAAGAATCAGACCAAAGGCAGATCCTGAGGAACCTTGTTAGACTCTCTATGGCAGCCTTTGCAGAAAACGGTTCTTTTGAACTATCTTCTGCCTCACCTGAAGTGCAAGTATGAAAACTTTCCATTTTTACTTATAGCTTATTAATTTACAATTTCCCATATAAAAACAAGATATCAACAGAGATACTTTAAAGGTTCTTGGCTTCAATTTCAAGGCACATCAGTTCATATAAGCTCAAGTATATGATAGTTTTCCCACTCTAGTTTTACTGCAGGATTGGCCCATATCTGTATGTCCCCTAAGGGGACAGCTGACAGATGATGAAGGCACTGAAGTGTATTTAGTGTCACACAGTAACTTAAACCTTCAGTAAGCCTCAGGAGAAAACTTTGCCAATCCTCAATATTATCATATTACACAGTCAAACTAAATATGAGGGGAAAAATTCATTCCATTGTTGTCTTTAGAGAGGGGTGACTATTAAAGCAAGTATAGATATTTCTAAACAGTAGCCTAATAGTTTTCAAACATGTATGGGCGGGGAACAAATTGCTTGTACTGATATAATTTTCTTTAATTTAAAAAAGGAAGAAAAAAAGAAAAGTTATAATAACATCTTTTTATCAGCTTATATTTTTACAAAATATATATCAAAATTGCTGTACTAGTCAAACTGCATATCCTCTGGGTCTTGGTCCACCCATATGCTTACCTTTACCAAAGCAATTAGCAGAACAAAAGGTCCTGGCATGGGTTTGAGCCCTCACGTGAATACTGTGGCGAGGCAGGAAGAACATGAATCCTGTCCTCCCCACCCCTAATGTTTCCCTCCTCTTCAGTCCACCCTCCCTTACTCACTTGGCCCAGTTGGCAAATTAGACCTATGGCGGCTGAAGAGGAAAGGGGCCAAAATGTCACCGGTGCCTGTCCTTGCAGCCAAGGCTGGGTTTCTTATGTGCATCCTGGAAGGAAATAGCCTCTAAATGAATAGACCCTGTGTAGAAACAGCTTCCTGTCTCCTTAAACCTCTTCTAAAATCAATATTTCATACCAAAATGCTCCTAAACTCTGTAGATTATTCTGTAACAGATAATACATGTTTAAAGTAACACTCCACTTTTAAATTAAGATTCATTCTACAACTACCCTAAAGATAAACAGTTGAGCTTTAACATTTTTTATCCGTTCTGCTGAATTTGAATTTGATTAGACAATTAGCATTTCACTCAAATAATATTCCAAAAAATATTTATATTTTTAATAACTTATATGTTATATATGTTCAATCATGTATGTTTTTTATTCTCTAAACTTTAAATAATGTTTATTTAATGTGAGTACCATAAAGGTGTCAGTTTGTTTATAAAAAAAAAAACTAAATCCAATGATCACCATGAAGCACTACTGTTTTATCATGCAAAATACATTGTTTTGCTGATCTGTGTAATCTGTTAAAAAGCACAGTATGTAAAGCAAAACAAAATGTGTAAAGTTAGCATGGTGCCGTAAAATCAATCTACTGCAATTAATATAATTTAAACACCCCAGGGGTTTCAATCCAGGCTGATGGCTTTTTTTGTTTTTTTTGTTTGCATGTTGTTTTTTTTATATAAAAACTATTTTCATCTTCTGTGGGTTATAGAAAAACATTAGGTATAAATTAGGTAATTCTAATAGTTTAATCAAAGTTATTTGACTTTTAAAAATTGCCATGCGACCCTGACTTTGCGAACCACTGACTTAGAAAACAGCAACTTTTCATTTTCACTTGATCTTAGTAGATGATGTAACTGTTTTGTGAAATTTTTGAGTGACATGCCAATGGTCTAATCTGATTCAATGTTTTATGCTAAAATAAGCTAACATTGCTCTCACCAGATTGGGAGATTTGCTGAATGGACACAAAAGGGTAGAACTTGACTGTTTACCTCTAGGTGACTTGTAAAAAGAGCTTATTTCCTTTAACATTAGCAGAGTCAAGAGTAATTAGATGTCTAAGCTTTGTTACATTATAAACATGATGGCTCACACATCTTGTAGAACACTATTAAAGCACAAGTTGTGTCAGTATTCAGTTAACTGAATGTTTAATCAATCATGACATTGATTTTTATTATATAAGATGAGGTGATTGGGCGGCGCAGTGGGTAGCTATGCCGCCTCACATTAAGAATGTCACTGGTTCGAGCCTCAGCTGGGTCAGTTGGCATTTCTGTGTGGAGTCTGCATGTTCTCTACATGTTGGAGTGGGTTTTCTCCACAGTTCAAAGACATGTGCAATAGGTGAATTGAATTAGCTAAATTTTCTGTAGTGTATGTGTGTGAATGAGCGTTTATGGGTGCTACCCAGTGATGGGTTGCAGCTGGAAGGGCATTTGCTGCGTAAAACATTGGCAGTTCATTCCACTTTGGTGACCCCAGATTAATAAAGGGACTGAGCCAAAAAGAAAATGAATGAATGAAAATAAAGTGAGTTATAGGTGTCTGTATAATAAATGATTAATTTTGTGTCATTATTATTTTACAGCAGGTGTCTCAGCTCCTGTCTCTGTTGCATCAGGGGCAACTTCAGCCTCGACCAAATTTTCGTGGCAACAAGTATTCCCACAGAGCTGGCAGGTAAAACCTTTTTTCATCATATTGACTCCTGGCTAAATAGACAATGAATGTTGTCCCGTATACTCACTGAACACTGTACAATGCTACAAAAACCACATTGTCACAGTAACCATGTTAGAACATGGTCCCATAATAACTGAGATTTTATCAAGTAGATTTCTGGTAAAAAAGGAAGTATCTGTAGATCAGTGAATATGTGGCGCCTGTGATCAGCCGCTCTCTGTATTACTCACTGTACACACAGATTGTTATCAGACAGAACCCACTACTGTCTATATTAATTTATGTTCATTTAGAATCAAAAAGAGAATGGAGAGTCTGTGACTCGTCTATACTAGACAGGGCTTGTTTAAACCAGCAGACGTCCTTCTGATGGGTTGTATTTTGTTCAAACATTTCACCTTATATTCAAAAATATTTTGTGCCAGAACCATAGTACAGTAATACTGCAAGTAGTACATCAGTTCTACAGTAAAAATCATGGTGTTTTAAGAGGTGGTCCACTACAATATCATATTTTAAACTTTAGTTGATGTGTAATGTGACTGTGTGAACATATACAACATCTCTAAATGTAAAACACTTAAAGCTTAATAAGGGAGACATTGGCTTTAACGGAGTTAACTTAGCAAAGCCTACAGCAAAGTTTGGAGACTACAAAAAATACATCCGGATTAGTAAGATCACAAACACTTCAGGTTACACGCATGCGCCACATGTTATGCCATTTGAGCTTGTTCTGTTTTTGTATTTGGACTTCTAAAGGACACGACACAAAGAAAAAAGTGCTTACAATTCAGTGTTAATTATGTTCCAGAGAATTATTTAAAAAAAACAGATATAGCTAGCATTTGACATAGGACAGCTTTCAGAATCTCTCCCAGTTCAGGGCTGGATTCAGCTTGAAACTCCTCAAAGAAGAAGCAGCTCCAATCATAATAGCTGAAACTATGGATTGTGAGCCACAACCTGTGTTTTTATTTTTTTAAATTTGTCAGTTGCATGCACAGACTAGTTTCTAGCGTTAACGGGATGTTGTAGCAAGGATGTAAACAAGAATGTAAACAGCCACAGTGTTCACCAGTGCTGCAGTTTCTCTCTATGTGGCTGCTTTTCCTGCATTCTACATCTCAAATAACAAACCTGCAAAAGATATGTGCACGTTTCATATCACTGACACGCTTATAACCTGAATATATGTGAAAGACAACATGTCAGATTTTATTTTAGAGAGCAGGCATGAGGTTTAGCTATGTCCTTTTCGTTTTATGTCCAATTCAGGCTCACACTGACACGGCTACACTGACTGACAGTATGTACCACAGAAGCACAGCATGTGCTAGTGACTGGACGTGACACTTCCTGGTGACATGAAGCCAATCTGCGAATCACAGCACATTATGTTAGCTGACCAATCAGAGGCTCTTGAGGGCGGGCTTTTGGAGGAACTATGAAATATGATTGTCGTTTTCTTGTTAGCTGAGTAGCAGTATATAAAAAAATAACATGATTTTTTTTTTACAAATGAAGCATGAGCACCCAAGCCTTAAAAATACACTCTGGATCACCCCTTTAAAGGTTATCGTGGTTGCTATCCTGGTACCATGCTAAAAAATATATGGTAAAAAATGTTACTGTTTTTAAAATATTTTACAAAGAATTATGTTACAAACTTCTCCTATATCTTATCTGCATTTCAGAGCCTTTTTACATAGAGTGACATTTTAAATTACTGTAATTCATTTACTTTTCTCATTCTTTATATTGTAGGTCAGGGGCCCAGGATGCTGATTGGCTGAGCACTAAAGACAGTGGTCATGGTGAGAGCGAAATGGGTGATATGGACTGGGAAACAGGCAGAGACTCACCTGTGGACCACTTGTATGAAGAAGGACTCAATAATCTACTGACTTCTGGTAAATGATCATGCTTTTATTCTGAGTGCACTGTTAACCAAAAAGATATTGAGTTTAAAAATCACCCTAATCTACGAAACACTTTTATTTTGGTGTGAACTGGGTAAAATGAATTCATAGCACACAAGCAAAAGTATTTATTAAAAGAACACTCTACTTTTTTAGAACTAGACATATTTTACAAGTCACTTGTGCTTGTTCCAAATCACAAATTTATACTAAGCCCAAAAAGTATGTACTTTTTTTGAGAAGAAAATATATAAACTTTCAAGCATGTTGCTTAGTTATGAGCATTGTTAATCATCCACACATCATCCACATTTCTTTCATATTTAATTCCACACCCTTTTGGAGAAGCAGCAGCAGGATAAACTGCCACTCACGAGTCTTTCATTCAGAGAAATCTCCTCAGGTCTTTGGATAATTATGCATTCAGATGTTAATGTCAAACACATCTTTTTAGAAGTTCACGTTGTTGCTGCAGATGAAATATAACAGAAAGAAAACTTTAAACATGTTCCAGTTGGCTAGATATTAATTAACGGTCATACAAACATCTTTACCGAAGCCTCTCTACTTGACGGTTGATCTCGCTCCTCCACCATGTTTGTAATTTATTTACACTTTTCACAAGCGTTTGTAGTTCAAATAAAATTCACGTTCAACACACAATTTATTGTGGGCAATATTAGCGAGTATGGACGGTTCTACTTTTTAAACAGAAATAGCTAACTATACAGGGACCTTTGGCATACTTTTTTCAACATACAGTACTATTATTTGGGATATATGGGATATTTCTATTTTCAAATAATATTTAGGTTGTAAAGTTTGCAAATTGAGACGCAGCAATGGAGTTGAACATTTGAGTTTTATCATCCATTCAGCCGATCTCTGGGTCATGATTAGACCATTAGCATCTTGCTCAAAAAACTCGAGAAAGTGCATTGATAATTTTCCAAATTAAAGTTTGACTCTTTTGTGGTTACATCATTTACTAAGACGGACAGAAAATGAAAGTTGCTATGTTCGATATAATGACCTAGAAAATAGCACCTTTTTAATTTCTGTTGGTCTAAGTACATTTTGTGAGAACATTTTTTGAGCAAGATGGTCTGATCCAATTCAGTTATTTATGCTAAGCTAAGTTTAAAGAGTTCCCGCCAGACCAGGGGTGTGTTTCCCAAACATAACTCATGGCTAAACTATCATAGTACCATGTATTGTTTACGAAAAGACCAATGTAGTGATGAGTGTGTCCCAAAATGATAGAAACCGTTACAAATATTATTGAGAATATGCCATATTCTATTCTAAAACATAAAAACTGCACATCTAACAACTAGCCCATGTCAGGTCTACAGTACAGACACATTTCTTAATAAATAACCTACCTTAAATTAAAAGCATTAACGTATGCTATATATGCTATATATTTTTGTTTTCATAAGCTTTAGAGACATAACTTAAACTCCGCTTTTAAATACAGGTCACCTATAGCTTTCATTATGAGCCACGGCTGCATTCAAAATGGCACAAATGTTTTCAAGGTGCACTACTGAGGGACACTAATTGTCAATATGAAGATCGCTAAAACTGAACTGTAAAAATACTTACAAAGCAAATTCCAACTAAGACAGACTATTTTAATGCTTTTTTTAATCATTCCAAGTTTAAATGTTGGAATGTTCTAAATGAATATGGCATAGGGGAGAGAATTGGAAATAGAACACAGCCAGGAACCAAACATGTTTCTAACTACAGCTCTAGAAGTGTAGTTGGAAGCGTACAAGTTTGCTTCTCAATTTAAGAATGTTTGCTGAAACGATAGATTTGGGAAACGCCAAATCAATGAGCTATGTTTGTAACAATGCAACTTGTTGCCTTAGTTGGACAATGATGGTTTTCGCAAAACGCAAAACTCAGGGCAGTTGTAAAATGAACCTATTGCTGAAAAAAAGTTCTTTAAACAAATACGATGCAAGAACAGAGCTGGGTGAATTAGATTGAATTGAATTAAACAAGCCATTACTTACAGCGTTTTATCAGAGCAGAATTTGTGGAATTCAAATTAAATTATAAGCCCACAACTAACTGTATAAAGTGAAGTGAGGTGACCTGAAATGGGTTCCTGAACGCATGATTTATTATTTGATTAAGGTAATTTCCAGATGTATCTTTTTCTCCCCACATATAGCCTATGACCAAGTAAGACAACAAACAACAAAAGGGTAATTACTTTCAAACACTGAACACCAATAAAACAAAAAGTATTGTGGAATTGTGCATAAAGTCTGTTTATCTGGATATACTAATATTTGTGTAGGTAGATTTCTGCTGCTGTGTTTCCTTTGTCTATGTATAGAGTAAATGTTTGTGTGCAGTTCCTTCCATCTATTGTTCTGAGATTCAGCACACTGTAAATTAACAAGGACCTTTTTTGTTCTCCCAAATAAAAGGTCTAGTTTGTTTTCTCTGCTTTATCTTTTTGATGTCTGGGCAGATTTAGCTCAGCATATATCTCCCCTTGATTTCCACTGAATCAAAATACATCAATGACCTTGCACTCTGTCTCACTAAGATCCATTCTTGCCCGAAAAACAAGGCTTTATAGGGGTTTCAAATGGTAGATAACAACACAGGGCCAGATTTATACTTACAGCTTGCACCAGCATAAACCCTGTTTTGGTTTTTAAAAAGTACTGTCATGATTTAAGATAAACAGTGTGTGGAGAATGTGGGTTTTTGCTGCTGACCCTTATGTTTTGGTCAAGCGTTTATTTTAGAATTTATTTTTTAGACAGAATAAAAAGTTTTAACCCAGTTTGCACCTTATCATCATTACTAAAATGAGCTACTGTGCATGTGTCGTTGTATTCAAGTAAACTTTTACGAGTTTCATTCTTCTAAATTTAGGGTTAGTTGGATACTAGTAAGGAGGCTAAAGACCATGACCTCGAGCGTCTGTCGCTAGAGCACCTTTAGAGGTCAGAGGAGTGATGTTAACCTGCACAACACTTCACTAGCTGGCCTCCGCTACTCTCACCCCCTAAACCTCACTCACGGTACCAATATAACCCCAGTCCCACATCATCCAACCCACTCTGAGCTGGGATCAAACCAGCAACTTTCCAGCCGGTTGCTCTACCAAGGAGACTAATGACCAACGTTATTTGCACTTAAATAAACGCGTAAACATTTTAAGTTTACTCGCTTTATTCGCGCGTCAATTCCACTTCATTCGAGCGTCAAATTCACTGAACAATAGATGTGGATTCACGTCATGGGCGGGGCTTCTGTCTGCTTTGTTGCTTAATGGCTAACATGGATTTTATTGAAAGAATAACTGTGTTTATGTGCTTTATTAAGGCAAAAAAAAACAGCATTGATTCGTTTTACCCAGCTCTGTGAGTTGATAAACTCCTCCAGAAACTTAACTTGGATGAAGGAGGCTTTTAGCGGTGCTACTGACTGAGCCGAGCCTAGATTGATCAACTGTTGTCCCGTGTCTGCAGGAGGATTTCCCTCTGGGACACCAACTACAGGCGCTAGGTCATAAGCACGCCCCTACAAAAAAAGGCTTCTGATTGGTTAAGGTGCTAATGTCCACAGAAGTTCAGACTTTTGAACTTGAGAAATTCGCACTTAATGCACGTGAATCACGTCAATCGTCTCAATCATGCAAACCGCTCAACTCGCATCGCTTTATTCATGCGTATCACGCTGCAGGATTCGCGTCTTTGCATGGGGGGGGCGGGGTGGGGGGGTTGTAGCAGAGGCCAGGTAGAGAAGTGTTCTGCAGGCAAACCTCACTCCTCTGACCTCTAAAGGTGCTCTAGCGTCAGATGCTAGGGACCACAGTCTTTAACCTCCTTGTTACAGCATCTGACTTCCATGTGGAAAATAGTCAGTTGGATCCCAGCTCAGAGCAGGTTGGGTGGTGTATGACCAGTGGAGTTACAAAAGAAGATATTTTGTAGAAAGCCGAAAACCTATAACCATCTGAAGTTGCTGGAATAGTTGGTGGTTCATTCCATTGTGGCGACCCCTGATAATTAAGGGAATAAGCCAAAAAAAAATTAATTAATAAAAAATATATATTTTTTGAAACCTAGTAAAATTGCAATATTAGAGCAATTTAAGCAAAACATCATAAATTCTTTGCTAACTATAGCTACCATTTTGTCTCCAAGGCTTTAACATTTGAACTAAATGATTTAATATGTATTACATTTATCTAATTATCAATATGTGTTTGTGCTGGTTGTTTGGAGTTTGTTTTGTACTCTGAAAAATAGTTTACTTTAGTGTGTGGATCTGATGCTCATGTAGCATGTTCCACTTAAAAGATTCCCTAAAGCTTAAAAGTAGTCAACAAGCTAACTCACTAGTGTGTGGTTTTGTGGTTGGGGTGAGTAAGCATAGCCTGATAACTTCATCTGCTTGCGGTGTTAGTCATGCTAAAGATAACAGACAGGCAGTTTTGTGTTTATCACCAGGGGTTTTCTTTCTAAAGCATGCAGGTACAGATTACCCTCTCTTTAGAGTCATCACACATCCTCAGAACCCTTCAAGGGTGATTTTTGACTCACACACACACACACACCTGCTCACACGAATATTCACATATCCTTGGGCTGTTTACGTCATGCTGTAACCCATATTCTTAACCCTTTAACACAATGCAGAGATGTCTGTGTGTTATGGATACTGAAAGTGAGAGTGTGTGAAATGTGTGTGTGTGAGGATAAAATGTTGTTCTCTTTCTACACTCTTTCTTTGAAGGCCATGACCCTCGCTATCTGCCTTTAGGTTGCCATTTCTTTACTGCATTCCTCTCACATGGTTTTTCATGGCCAATAGGTGACAATTTATTCAAAATCAGAAGGTTTAAAACATTTTTTGTCAAATAAGTTTTTTTCTGAAGACACATATTCACATATTTTGTCCACATATATCATAGGCAAAGCAAAGAAAAGGAAAAGAAAAGAAAAGGAAAA